TATGTTACAACCTTTCAAAGGTTTTTCTTATTAGATTTTTATTAATACATAATTAGATTTACCATAGCAAAGATTGCCTTGAGTTCACTTGGCCAGAACCTTGTATAATATCAGGTGACAATTTCTAGTCGGGACTTCGAGGCGATGCCGCGTGAGCAGCTGCGCTGAATGGAAAGCCGCGTTCTCGGTGCCCTTTCGATTTCTCTTCGCCCGCATTTCGAACTCTCGTCGGAAGGAGAACCGCTCAATGGTTGATTAAGTAACAGTGGCCTCTAATGATAGCCCCCTAATGATAGCGTATATCCCGGTGCGCATGGATTTCACTGTACATTTAATTACAGCAAGACGCGCACGCTCGCGCTCGATTCGCGGACGAACGCGTTACCTAGTTGCCCGATTACACCGGCGACGAGAGTGTTCCCTCGGCAGGCGGAACTCTTCGCGTGACGCAATCTCTCCCACCGCTGGAGCGCGATATGTTTATTAAGAGATCGTTAAATGGCCCGTTAATTTTCCCGGCTTATCCCTCGGTGTCTCCTTTCTTTTTTCTGTCCCGTCCGAAAGCCGACGCTCCTGGAACGTGCGATACTTGCACGATCACCATTTCACCGTGTCGAGATTTCATTCTCGTCGTCAAGAAGTCGGCCGCGCGGCACGAAGTAACGCGAGTCGTAAAGAGAGCGCGCGTCGGCCGTTGCGACTCTAATTAGAAGGGGCTCCGTCGTTTCCGCCGGACAAATTAAGCTAATCGGTCGCGACGGCAAAGCAGACGGGGGAGAGAGTCCGCGCGATACTCCCGGCAAGGGCGACAGAGTGCGGCTGTTGTTCCCGGATAAAGACGCCAAAACGCGAGCGCGCGCGTCTCGTCGAGGGTGAAGGAAAAGTGCGACCCTCGAGGTCGTAGGAGATGGAAGAAAAAAGTTGGAGAGCACGAAATTAGTCGTACTCGCGGCGAGGAGCATTAGACGCGCCCCGGGGGCTCGCGCGGCCCCGTTTTATTCGATAATTATGCAAATGCCGGAATGATTGTCGGGCAATATGTCCTCGGAATAAAAGTGCCGGAGCAATTCGGTTATCTTTATGATTTCGGGTCGTCGAAGGGCGGCGGAGGAGAGAAACGGCGCGCGCGAACGCGAGGGCTCGTCAATCCTCGGCGACAAGAGTCAAGCCCTTCATTTGCATCGAAACGCGGTCCCCCTTCGCGCGTTTCTTACTGGCGGGCGCAAATCCGACGACGCACCACGATCGATGTCCGTTTTCTCGAAGTCGCAGCGTCGATATCGTCGTGTCGCACGATTGCACGAAAAGAAATGATCCAGATACTTTTATGCAGCCTCCATCACGCTCCGCGATTATCCAACATTGACAATGGCATTAAAGACGTCTAATTAAAGTAGTAGTAGTATACAATGAATTTGTTTTAAATTTGTTGAAAAATTTGCGCTACATATAGATGTAAATATGATCCAATTATTGGCCCAATTAGAAAGCAATTGACCAAAGCTGAAATATTCGCAACTGAAAATGACGCTTTTTACGTGCTCTTTGAGGCTAGTATTTTTAATTTTTATTTTTTATTTCAAACGGACATTTTATTTAGGTAATAAAATACATGTATAGGAACGTAATTTTGCTTGATAAATACTGAATTTATGGATGGCTCTTTAGATGCGCCACTGAAAACATGGCATTCAGCGCTACTACTACTACCTTAACACGCTGGGAAACGAGCAATCAAGGGCCCGACGCGGCGATTTCGTCGTACAACTGAATCAATTAAAAACCCCGTCGTTCATTGTGCCTGAAGTTGCGCGCTTATGCGATGTATTATCGTTATTTACTATTAAAATATATTCCTCGCACCGAAAGGGTGGAGCCTGCCTCGACCAATGGGCTGTCGTCGCGTGCCTCGAGTCGTTACGGAACCCGCAAATTGATAAGAATGCATCGTCGTGTACCCTTCGGCCCTTTATTAGCCCTCTCTTGCCCCGCCGGGGCGAAGATGTCGGAGTACATTTTTATTCGCACCCAGGGCGATTGCCTTATCGCCGCAGTGCCCGTGCGCTGCGTCTGTTCTCGACGCGTCGTTTCAAAAGGCTTCAAAATTCCTTTATTTTCTAAAAGAGACCCTATCGCGCGTACGGAGAATACACTTTTCTCTCTCTCTCTCTCTCTCTCTGTTGTCCGGCCAGTTGAAAAACTCGAAGTAGCTCGGATCCGTCGACAATGGGGATTTTTTCTCCAAGGTGTAAAAATTTTGATGGGGAATGAGGGGAGAGTTCTTTGGGTACTCGACGGAACACGCAGAACCTGAGAGAGAAAAAAAGAACGGATGCTTCGGGATCGAGATTGACAGGTAGCAGGAGAGAGAGAGGAGGGGGCGGGGGAGGGGTTCAAGACGCAGGGAACAAAGAGGAAATGGGAGGAGTCGCATGATGACTGAACAAAGTCCGATAAGTACAATAACAACTATTTATTTATAGGTAATAATGCTGAATTACAATGAATACACTTCTTGCCTCGATACTAGATTGTATAAGTCCGGTCGCGAAATCGGCGCCGCTGGTCGCCGTCGCCGTGACTCGCAGTGGCGACGACGGTTCTTCCCCCCTTTTTCCCCAACCCCCGTCCCGCAATCCTCCCTCGCTCTTGTGCTCGCACGCCACCCACCCACACCTCGTTTCGACAACCCCTGGACTCGAAATCGCTCATCCTCGAGCGAGAACCGCCGATCGACGATCGTCCCGACATCCGTCGTCTGCACCGGGATGAAATGAAGCGGTTAAATCGGAAACGATTCGATGCCCTTCTCGACTGCTACCTGGGTTTGTGCGCGATTGTCGCGGCTGACCGACCGCCGTCGACGCCTTTTGCTTCGTCTCACGTGAGAAATCGGTTCGAGAGTGAGAGTTGGATAGATCGTCGTCGTATTTTTCCGTCTTGAAAGTTAATTTGTACTATCTGGCGTCGGTGGAGGTTCACGTCGCGCGACCGTCGTTGCCGATCTCCCCCCCCCCCCNCCCCCCCAACCCCCATGGGTCCCTCCGGCGGTTCTCGATCGCGAGGAGACGCGTTCGACCTGCTTCGCGCGCTCGCCGATTACCCTCTCGGCTCTCTGCTGCCTTCCCCTGTCAATCGGTAGCGGCGATGGCAAATACGGATCAGCTATCGGTGGTTAAATTCTCGTTTCTCTACGTTTAGCATCGTCTTAACGGGCTTTAGCTGGTACGATACTAGACACTATGATTATGTGAACTTTACAACACAAGAACCTTACGGCAAAAGACTTTGTACATGGATCTTAAATACGGGGGACCGCCCTCCCCCCTCTCCCGGGGAAATATCCTCCTCGGCGCTCTCCTCGCCCTGCGCGTCGACGCGCCCGCCGCATCCGCCGAAACGTTGCGTCTCTCCCTATACCGGTGATTCTCGTCCCTTTTCAGTCCTCTCTCGCCGCGGATCGCGCGCCGAGGGATATTTCGCCGGACTCTCCGGGCGGTCAACGCAAACGCGGGACACACGCAATATGGATTAGACTTACTTGTTTCGGTAGTAACTAAGTTATTTATATAAATAAGGTGTTACGATTTTTAAGACGCTAGGAGAGAATCCTCCGTTGTTTCCACTTTCGTCTCTCTTTCTCTCTCTCTCTCTCAGTAATCTCTTTCTCTCCCTCCCTTTCATACGCACGCACACGCACACACACGCACATTCTCTCTCTTTCTTTCCTTCTATTTCTTCCTCTCGCCCTTTCTCTCCCTCGCAGCCTCCCTATGTCCCACGCTCTCTCCCTTTCGCGCTCGCTCGCTCTCGCATTTGCTCGTCGCGTCATTCTTTCTCTCTCTCTCCCTTTCTCTCGTTTTATTTTTCTATGATACAGCGCTCGAGTCGCGGCTCTCGCTCCGCGCCGGAGACCAGAGGAGAGTCCCGTGTCGCACTTCTGGTTCCGCTTTCGGGAGCATTTTACAAAAAAGGCGGGCGCATTCTCGGCGCTGCGATGCGCGCACCGCGCCTTCGTCCGACGAGAGAACGGCGGTTACCGGGTCGGCCGTCGCCGGAGACGCCGGTCCCGGGATGTCGAGCGGCTCGGTCGCGACGGGGGCCCGCGACTCGACTTTCGTTTCGCAATTGGCGATCGGAACGCCCCGCGTGGCCGCGCGCGGCGACGTGTAATAATATTAATAATGATAATAATACTCGAAATCGGCGCGCCTCGCGATGCGCGGCGGCGACGTGGCGCGCCCGATCGCCGGAATCTTAAAAACGATTAGCTAATTAACTCGCTCGATAATTAGGAGATAGGTACCTCTAGGAACGCATGCACGCGCGCACGCACTCTCCAGCAGTCTTTAGAAATATGCCTCTCTTCTCTCCCGTTCCTGTCTCTTTCTCTCTCTTCGCTTGGTATCGGTGTATCTGTGTATGTGTGTACGTATGCATGTAAATAGGTGTGTATAGCCCTCCCCGATCCCTCTCACTGCCCCTTGTTTGCGATCGTCTCGATACCGCGAGAGTCACGCGATCATCATCATTCGCGGGTAATCGATGGTACGTAACATATAGAGAATGTCTCTTCCTCCCTCTCTCTCCCTCCCCCTTCGTTTCGTCGTCATCGTCGTCGAACGAACGACGCGACTCCTACGGTCGCCGCGCACGCAAATCGAGAAATCTCGGGGAAACGCGGCGCATCTACATCGCGTCGTTGATATGTGTGCGACCGGTCCGCGTGGACCGATCTCCTCCCCGACCCGAGGGCCCCGTCCTCCGCCGGGTGAAATCCCTCTCGTCGGCGATCTTGTCCGGGATTGAAAAGAAAACGCGACGTACGATCATCTCTCTCGCGCGCGCATTCATTCGCCGACCTGTGTGTGAGTCTTCGCGGACACTCGTCACTCGGAGCTACGAGAGTCGTCGTCCGACCATCTCTCATCGCGACTGTTCCTCAAGATCTTTCGCGTTTCTCGTTGTGTGTAGGTCCGGCTCCTCGCTTTCGAGTCGCGCCCTCTTCGCCCGATCGATCACTCGCTCCGGCTGTTCGCTGCACGCTCTGTCTGCCCTCGCCTGCCCTCGTCCGGCCTCTTCTAGGTCGCGCTCGTGAACAGAACGGAGTTCTTGTAGTAACCCGTTCGCGACTCTGGAACAGAAAAGCGATTCGCAGGTGCACTCTGGGAGTCCGTGCTCAACACCATCGATTAACGTCGCGCGGTACTTGATGCTAAACGCGACCGACTGTCTCTTTCAAGAGAGAGGGTCGCGATCCTTAATGGGAATACGAGAGGGAGGGAGGGTGGGAGTCGTGTCTCACGGATGAAGATGCGTGCGGGAGATGAATGGTCGTGGGCGTAATTCCGCTACGGAGCGATTCGGTAGGTGGACCAGCTGGGTCATTCGATGATCGTTCGTTCGGAAGAGGCGCCGCTCACTAATTATCGTTGGCTCTCGAGACGTAGATGAACGCGAGGTGGATGAAGAGATGGACGAACCGAGCGGAGAAAAAGGGTGAAAGGGTGGGGAGGGAGAGAGACAGAGAGAAAGAGTCGGGCCCTATCGCGCGGACGCGCGCGCGCCTTCGTAAATACGAGACCGGCCGAGTCATCGGCCTTAGCGCGCGCTCCTTTGTGATCGAGCCGCCACTCTACTTTTTATCCAACTGTCGCTTATGATTGAAAATCACTATACGTTAATAGTCCGCGTGATTCGGTTTACTCGTTTCTCCGCGCCCACTATCGTCCCGGACCTCTTCAATCTCAAGCCGTTCCGGCCCTTCCACTTTGTTTGATTCAACATGCACGCTTATCATTATCTTCTCCTTTCGGTCGCCCGTCAAACGCTCAATAGGCAGGGAATTTTCGTATAATCTGCACCGAGAGAGAATCGCGCAACATTTTTATTCCCGCTCTCCGACACAGACCGTCGCATATCAACCGTCTCTGCCTTCTGA